GTACATAAAGAATTTATGATCTTATGTGAATTGATAATTTGTATTGATAGTTTGATACACAGAGAATGATTCCATTAAAGGAAACAATATATTTTAGTAGTGAATGAGAATAATGTGATTGAGATAATTGAGTCAATCAAATCTTCTGTGACATATGTTGATCTATCACTAATAGGAGCGTCTACAAATACTGAANAATTTCTCCTATTATATATATATGAAACTATGAAAGTAATAGCTCTATGTCTCAGTTACATTTTTTACAATTCCTCTGGTATTTCTTCTTCATGCTCCTCTAGTTTTTGAAGTAAATAGAGTATTCATTGTACATTGTCTTTGTCTCTCTATTTAACCATCTCTGAAGGGTTAAAAGTTGTTGTTACAGAGATTATTTGTATTTAGTGACTGACAGTTCACAAGTCCATAATGGAATTTAGGTTTTCTATTGATATTGTAACTCTAGAGTTTGTTTTCTTGGTTATGTGTTTGTGACATTCTCTCTTCATGTTCAGGTAGTTTGGTTGTGAAGAGTGTTCAATGGGGAATCGAGTTGATAACAAGTTCACTTGGGTCATTAGGAATTTCTCCTCTTTGGAATCTGAGAGAATCTATTCTGATCAATTCCTAGCTGGTGGCTGCAAATGGTAAGAATGATAAAACTTGTCTTTCTAATGTTTTACGAGACTTTCGACTACGTTTTCGTGATTCTTTGGTTCTTGTTTCCTCCAGGCATCTTATTGTATTTCCTAAGGGAAATAAGGTTGATTACTTGTCTTTGTATCTTGAAGTCGCTAATTATGGATCGTTGCCTTTTGGATGGAGAAGACACGCACAATTTCGCCTATCGATAGTAAATCAAAATTCAGAATTACTCTCCAATCTGCGAGGTGAATACTTGTGCGCTTGCTTTGTTTATGATAAGTTTATGACACTACATTTCATTGGATTTGTGCAATGCTTGTTTTTGTTTCAGTAACACAACACTGGTTTGATCAGAGTGTACCCGTTTGGGGTTTTAAATCCATGTTTCCCTTTACCAAACTTTATGAAAACAATGGTGGATTTATGATGAATGGAGAAGTCAAGATTGTTGCTGAGGTAGATGTTCTTCAAGTTGTTGGAAAATCATATGTATCAAATGAAGCTGATGATGAATTCCAAACTCCGAAGAAGTTTAAGACAAATGATGACGGTGCAAATTATAACGATTTTCTCAACAAGACTCAAGAAAGAATTGATGTTAATGGGTTTCAAGTTCTTTCTTCACAGGTAACAAATTTAAAGAATAGTCTCTTACAACCAAATTGTAAAACCAACCTGTCATATTATGTTATCATGTCTCCAAAAACGTTTATTCTATTGGCTCATATATTATTTTTTTTTCCCACTCGTAGGTAGAATCCGTGAGGCGTATATTTAAAAGGCATCTAGACTTTGCATCGAAATTTCGTCCAAAAGAGCGAATNATGAAGTCGACATACATTGATGTTCTCCTTGGACTGATTGGAGCACTTTGCCAGCTGCCGCAAGAGCTCTCTGATGCTGATCTGAATGAAGCATCGACTGCACTGTCATACGTTGCAAATGGAGGCTTTAAAGTTGAGTGGTTGGAGAAGAAGCTCAATGAAGTTAAGGATAGGAGAAAAAAAGTGGGAGCTGGTAAGGTTCGGGTGCAACTAATGAAGCAAACGTTGCAGAAACTTAATCAGAAAGGCTTAGACCTGAAATCTCTTTTGGAGAAGGAGAAGGCAAATGTGTCGGCCGCCAATGTTGCTCTCTCGTTTGATGATTTTGTTTGATGGTCTAGAGGTTTCAGCAACATGTAGTTTGTTTTTTTTTTACTTGTTTAGTTGGCTCTAAAATGATCGTCTTCTTTAAACGTTTTAAGATAAAGAATCGTATGTTTGAAGTTTTTGTAGTACTTTGCAATGGAGTCACTTGGTTTAAAGCTCGAGAATTAACTGATTGGTTGAAAAACAGAGTAATCTGTTACGTTTAGGTCTCTTTTTCTAATACATTAACTTATAAGGAAAATTCAGATGTCTAATTCTATTTTTGGGCCGTAAATAAAATATGTATAACAAAATTCATAGAAGACATACGAAATATATGAAATTGTAATAGAAAAACAGAGTATCCGCTTCTACTAAATTGTTATTAACTATATACGATTTTAATCATTCCTTATGAATCTTCATTTGTGTTCTTGTTCGTGCTACTGTCTTGATCAACACTTCGTTAGGCCATTGTTTAGACCTTATCATAATTATTCCTCGTCTTTATTAACCATGGCCGGTTTTCATCCGGTTCGATTTGATTTTGTTTAACTGGGAACACAATTGCTTTGTGCCTATATAACGCCTCCCCCCCCCCCTGCCCCCTTATATTATAAAATATGGGGCCCTGATTTGAAGATTACATTTCAACATGGGTCCGAATAGTGACGTTCAACATGGGTTCGAATAGTGACGAAATTATGCGGAGCGCCGGAGCGGTACGGGACAATTGTTTTGTGGAACAAGTACGATTTGTGTAAAAAAAGCGGGACAAAACAAATCCAACCGTGAAGGATGCTAATTCTGACTCGAACGGATATGTTTAGATATCTAAAATACACTTCTATTTGATTTTCTAAAAAAAAAAAACTTTCTAAAACAAGCATAAATAAATTATAGGGACATAAAGGAAAACATTGAAATACAATTTTAAAAAGTGCTTAGTGTTGAAGTCGATTGTCACTCAACTGTAACTCATCACAAATTAAAACCAAAATGCTTTGATGGACCACACCCATAAAAGCTTTGGAAAATCGATTCCTTGAGCTATAGAGCTCGGATCGGATCGGTAACATACTAACAAGTTAGTTTTTCAATAGAATTTGAATTATATCATTTGGAATTGTGGTTAGCAAGGTACATCCGAAATTTACTTAAGACATGTGAATATGTCTCGAAACTGAAGCAAGTCCAGAAATGAGCCCAACTAAAGACATCGAGCTGTGGAGCTCGGTTCGACAACACGCCGAGCTAAAGGGGCTCGGTTCGGCAAGACACCGAGACAAGGAGCTCAGTTCAGCAACACAACGACCCACAAAGCTCGGGTCGGAAACACACCGAACCACAAATCGGCTCGTCATAAGCGATCCAAATATATGGGCTCAGTAGAACCTGAGCTGAAGACATACAAAGGTGAAAATTGTTGAAAATAAAATATTTGAGCTAGATTTCATCCAACAGAAGTTTGAATTCATTTGGATCATCGGTAAGAATGTTACACGAATTACCATGGAGATATATCAATTTGGGCTCATCGTAACCGAGCCGGAGAGATTGGTTCGGTAGGACACGAGCAGAAGACATACCATTCTAAAATCTGGACACAAGATATATGATTGAGTCGGCTTTCATCCAAAAGAAGTTTGAACTCATCTGGATCACTTTTTAGAAAGATGGCCTAATTATCGTGGAGACATATCAATCTAGTCTATAAATGAAGCATACGCAGAATGAGCTGCAGGACATACGCCTAGAGGAACCTAGGCTGAAGGAGTTGGGCTTGGTGGAACCCGAGTAGAAGAAGTAAGGGCGCCAAAATCCGAGTTGAAGGAGGTGGGCTTGGTTGGACCCAATCTGAAGCCGAAAGGCCCGAGTTGTGGAACGTGGGCTCATCAAACCCGAGCTGAAGATTGGGCCCAACAGAACCGAGCCATGGGCTTCAACCCATATCCACGATGAGCTGCGGGAATCTCTGATCACAATGGGTCGAAGTGGGAAGCCCATAATATCAAGTCAATTTAGAAGCATCCGAAAAGAAAGGAAATATACAAAAAAAAATTAGGAAGTCTTGAGAAACTAGTATATATACTCATGTACAACCCTTGAAAAACGTATCCGTAATTTTTTACCAAACAGAAAATCTGAACTTTCTGTCTTGTACTCAACCCTTTCAAACAACAATAAAATCATCTTTGGATCTTTGAATTTGTGGTTTTAACATAGAAATTTCAGTTCCTTTTAAAAGTCTTGATGAATTTAATTGTGCGGGTTTCGACTTCCATACAACGCATCTTTAACATACTCGGGCGCGCCTGAGAACAGGCCAATGAAGCGTTCTCCCCCCCCCTAAACCCAAAAAAATAGTTTAATAACAATAAACCCCAGTTTTTTTTTTGCAAAAAGAAATCTCCAAATTTTTAAAATTTTAACTTTTAATCTCACTTTAAAGTAAAAGATTATAAAAAACCTAAAACTTTTTTTGTTTTTTTTGTTTCGGCCGTCAAAATTTAAAGACTGCATACTTCACATATAAAATTCATGATTAT